TTTCTTTAGATTTATTACTACAGATTTATTTGCTTCCATTGGAAATTATGTTACTCTGGGTCTTTTTAATGCTTCTTATGATATTTAATATTTGTGCAACTGATGAGCCAGTTGCCTCTACTTATTCATAGTATGGATTCATAGTAAAATAATTACTTCTGGGGAGGGCATCTGTTGGGTGGGCTACATTTGATTTGACTCCACACGAAGACTCTATTATAGTAAATGTTGATGATAACCAAGTAATATCTCAGTGGCCTACGCCAAAGTGGTTTTAGGACTGTGCAGCCAGGTCAGATGCAGCTGCCTTAAATGGGGCAGTTTCGCTGCTGACTTTGGCACTGTACACTTGACACAGGGATGGGTACTGCTAATTCCTGTGGGTTGTATGGGTCTGGAGGACCTGTAACAACTAGATGTGGCTGCTAGATGTGGCTGCCAGAGGAACAGCAGCAGAAGCTAGGTGATACTTTGTTTCTGGCAGCATGTCAAGTGGCACTGTCCCAGGTAGGTGTGATGCCTTCAGTGTGGCGGCACAGCAAGGTGTCTGCTAGCATTTGGGAGCCTTGCACAGGCCAAGCCATACTGATATGCTTGTTGTGGTTGCCCCTGAGTGTCCAAGGGCCACACAGGTAACTTTTCAGGACCTCTGAAGTCAACCTGGTCTGGTTGACTGCCAATCTGTCAACCAGTGGCTAGTGGCTACCAATCTGTTTCCAGCAACTGAACATTCATGCATGGGGCTTCCTATCTGCATCTCAGGGACTTGATAAGCTAAGACAATCTGGACTTGTTGCTTGACTTTTCCCTGGAGTTGTGAGTGGTCAGTCATGGATGTTTCTCTGGGCTCCAGCCATGTTTCTCAGGGTGAGCTTCTTTTCAACTTCTCATGGCTGCAGGAGAATGGAAAAGTCTGCCCCTTTGCTTCCAGGGCCTTTGTGGGCTGAGCAGCTCAACACAAGCTGCCAGGTTCTTTTCACAGCCAAGAGGATAGGGCAAAACTGCCCATCTGATCCCCTCTGTAGGCAGGGCTGCTTCCTGGCCAAGGGTGAGTGGGCTAGCCTTCCATCTGCTTCCAGGGGCAGGAGGTGTGTGGGTAGGGCAGCCTATTTGCTTTTTCCAGACCTCAGTAGGCTGAGCCACTCAGGGCAACCTGCCTGGATACTTCCTGGGATTGTGGGAAGATCAGAAGGGTTAACCCACTTAGTTTGCAGGTCTGAGTCAGCCAATCTGCTGGGGAGACACCTGGCTGCCTCACAGGCCCTGGGTGGGCACTGTTTCAAGTTAGTGTTGTGCAGGAGGAGGCTGACTGGAGGAGGCCAAAATGTTGAATGTGGGCTGTCTCCAGGGCAATGCAATGGTGAGATAACTCATACTCCAGCTTCACAAGTTGGACTCAACACCTGTGATGGCTGTCAACTTCTTCAGCAGTAAATGCCTCTAGTATGTGTGTACCTGTCGAGACATCCTGCTTGGGTAAAACCCCAAGTGAAGTCCCTTTAGTTCAGGGATATTGCCTTGATGTCTTCAGTTCCTTTCTCTTCAAGGCCATGATATGTTTTCAAACTCAGTGACACCCTGCCAGATCCCATTGGTTCCCTGGGGCTCAGCATTAAACCCTCCAGGGAAATTGCTGTTCTGTTTTGCTTTGCTTGTTTGGGTCCTGTATTCTGAAGGGAACAGTTCTCCAAACACCTCCTCCACCATCTTACCGATCTCACCACTTTGATATATATTTTTTAAAAGGAATTTTTCAGAAAATGTGAAGCCAATTGTCATGATATATCATGGCTAGTGTAGTCCTGAGTAGAGACAACAATAAAACATAGGTGTGCAAGATAATCTAACATGGCATCAAAATCATACATTATAAATGCCAACTATGTAAATATATTTATGAAGGTAAACAGTGATCATTGGTTAATGATGTGGTAGTTGAAACCAGGACTCTAAAGTAGCTTGGCAAAACAAAAACAAAAACAAAAACAAAAACAAAAACAAAACAAAAAAAATATTTTAAAATGGTGTTTTGTCACAGCAGGCCAGAATAAGGGCCAGTTTCCAAGTTGAGAAAATGAGTTGCTGGTTAGGGAAAAAGAGAGGCAAGGATCTGTATTTGTGACAAAGAGATAAATTTTATTATAACTAGAAATACGATAAATTCTTATGATGACAATGCTTATCATAACAGACAGCATGTAAAACCAGTTGAAAGTTCACTTTATTAAACTTACATGCTTAGTAATAACAATAAACAAAGGCATTTTTGTCAAAATAACAATAAGTTTAGTGGAAATGGATTATCTTTGTAATATATGTTTTCTAAAAATTCAGTTTCAAAGTTCATTCAAATGTAGGATCAACACAATTTGATTCAAAAATAATAAAATCATTAGATGATATGGTACTAAAATGCTTAATGTACACTATTAGTTTACTTCATTGATTTACAATGCTGTTGATATTTAGAGTAATTATAAAGCAGTATGCATAGAGAGCAAGATGCAATTAATAGATCCAAAGACAGATTTCGTCTGCTATTTGATTGAAGATAGTAGGCATTAGTTCTTCTCTTTACTTTTTTCTGTTAAGAACTACATTTTATGAATATTTTTCCCTGTAGTCTTTAAGAGAAAAAGTATAATCTTCATAAGATTTTCATTTTTAGGAATTATTTTTTAAGTTAATTCTTTTGCTCATCTTTGTTCATCCTAAAATTATTGTGAAAAAATCAAATACTACTTTCATTCTCTCCTGGAACAAGACTGAATGCTTCATGACCTGTGCTTACTTTCTTTCTGTCCTCTCCAGTAACTCAGTGACTTCCCAGTGCCTTTGAGACAGAAATTGAAATATCTTATCTTAAAGTTCATTATTTGCTATATCTGACTTTTCTGACTTTATCTACCATGACATCCTGGACTCACCAGTCTTTTACAGCCAAATCCAAGTTTGTTTTCTAAATATATTAGCATGAAAATTTCTTCTGTGTCCTTACTTGTCCAAACCTAGGATGACCTCTTGCTTTTCTTAAGCCTAGGGAGACACACTCACACCAAATCCCTTCAGGAAAAATTCTTTCATTGTGTGTGTTGTTCTCTTTCTCTTTGTGGGCTCTTTGGAATCCGTTTTCTCCTTATATCTGCTGCTTAAGCTGCAGTGTAGGCTTTTGTAAGACTGGTGTGGAGCTTTATATTTTTGTATTAACAGGCATTAGCATGTATCCCACAGGTGCTAAGAAGTACATGCTACAAATGCACAGTATCTGACAACATGAAGTGAGATACCTGTCCTCAGGCAAATGAGTTTGTCAGAACATTTGCTTTGCTTTGCTTTGCTTTGCTTTGCTTGCCTGCCTGCCTGCCTGCCTTCCTTCCTTCTTTCTTTTTTCTCTTTCTTTCTTTCTTTCTTTCTTTCTTTCTTTCTTTCTTTCTTTCTTTCTTTCTTTCTTTCTTTCTTTCTTTCTTTCTTCTTCTTCTTT